AATTTCATTAAAAAAAAAAAAAAGAGCCAAAGATGCAGAGACTCAACAAAATTCCAGTTAACTGCAGCCCACATACAGCAACAGAAAAAAGGTGAAGAGGGAGGAAAGGGGGAATAGCTTTCTACTGTAACTTTTCAGGATTTAAAGACTGAAAATTTTAAGTATATTCCAGCATAATTGCAATTTCAGAATATTTACAGAAAGAAATTTCAATTTAATGGTTTTTAATATCTGGATTTTAATTGTTTGTACAAGGTTTACCCTTTCATGAGACAAATTTCTTAAGTTTCTCTAAAGTGCATCAGTGAGAGGTCATAAAAGCTGCATAATTTACACGCCAATATCTGCTAGATATCGACAGTAACATTTATTTAGTCTTAACTTGCAATTTCATAACACACTAGATGGAAACAAACCTTAAGCGAAGATAAAACAAGGGGAGGGACAGTGAAGGGTAGACGTTTTGGTCCTCCAGCCAAGATATGCTTCCTCACCGTGCATATTATCTACAAATTATCACATAGAAATCACAAATACTTCAGAAGAAGAAAATATACGAACTTTCAGGATAAACTCTATGTAATTGTTGAGGTAAAAATTGGCTACATCAAAGAAAAGGAGAACTTTTGCACTCAGCAAAATGTTCAGAAGGAAATCCTGCTAGGTGCACTTGAACTATATGATTATCAAGTCTCATTATACCTATATAACTATGAGAAGAAAAATGCTTTCACCCAATCAAATACCTTAAACATCTCTTCTGGATCATCATTATACAACATCTGGATAAGACGTGAAACAGAATTCTGCTCCTCCTTGAAATCATCTTCATCAACCTAAACGTGAGAAAGCAAACAAGCAATTACATGAGTAGGAACACCATTTGTAAAGGGTCAATCTAAAGCATACTAGAAAGATGAGAAAAATATTAACCTAGTTGCTGGGATTAAGCAAATGTCATGCATATTGGTGAAGATACTTAAAAAGAACCATTAAAAACTAGCAACAGTTTAAACAATATAAATATGAAGACAGATAAATCATAATAACCTCATCATCAAGAGTCCCATCCAGATCCTTAATAAGACCTTTTATCAGTTCAAACAACGCCTCAACCTATCACAAAAAGTAACAAGATCAAGAAACCAGTTCAACTAAAAACCAATCTTGAAAGACAGGGTTGTAAACAATGAAATTATAAACATACCCTGTCAGCAGTCGAGATATGAGTTTTGTTCTTCATAATGCTTTGAATTATCACAGTTGCCATGACTTTATTTGTTTCACTATCAAGGTATTCCATGACACGTGGGTAATTAGAAAGCTTTAATGCTGTAACAATGTCATTATATTTTTCAAGCGGAGCACTTAAAAGGGCAACAATCTGTTTTGTTGCTTTGTTGTCTTCAAGCTTTCCTTTGCCAGAGAGTTTTCTAACACATGCTCCCTGAACAATAACAAGGTGAAGTTACCTCTAAGTTGATTTGCAACTTTTGTAAAAACAAATGACCGTAGAAACAAATGATTAAATAGCTTTCTCTTTTTACATAAATCAAGATTGAAAGTTCCACCATAAAAATCAATGGCATGGGCACACCTTAATAATTAATTATTTGTGAAGAGATCAAACCAAATGATTTAACGTATTAATAGATCTTAGTTTATGAGCAATGAAATCATAAACATTAATGTGAACATGCATAATGCATATAAGAAGGTAGCATACCAACACTTGATCTGCATAATCAAGCCGATCCGGATGGACATGGAGAGTAAATGTAAGAAGAGATGAATATAGAGTTATCACCCCAAGGATAGGCATATCAGGCTGTGCTTCTATCACCTGCATCATAACATAGGTATAAGACTGATTATTCCAATTGTCACATATAAAAAGACCACAAACCAATAATCAGGTTAGTCTAAGAGGAATTATCTACATACACAAAATTTACCTTTCCAATGGCATTATTCAACTTCAAAAAGGCTTCTACTTGCAAGAACTCAGGCAACACATCAGCACTTGAAGCAGCATAATTTGATAGCCTTTCCATTAATCGAGATAGCACTGTTTTAATGTCAATGGTTGGCTGAAAAAGCAAAAGGCAGAAAGAGTTTAGAACTTCATAAGGTGTGCAAAAATTGCTGCTTTTATATCATAAATTTTAATAGGAGAAATACATAGATCCATGTGCATAATAGAAAAAAAATCTATTTATGACACACCTGAAGTTGTGGGAAAGCACCCAACAACACGTCAAGAGTTTGCAAGTGGTATTCATCAGGAAAAACTTGAATTATGCAATCCATTAGATAGTATTGAGCTAGCTCATCTTTACAATTGACAACCTGTGAAGACATTTGAAACAACAGAACCCATCGCTTGATGATTAGCAAGCAAAAGTCACAGATCATAAGCTCCAAGATAGAACACGGGTGTAAACTAATAGCATTTGTGCCTGCACAAATCGAACCTGTTCAAGGATCCTGGGAAGAACAGTATCTTTGTACATATCAAGGTCAACACCCTCTATCTGACTGAGTACATGAAGATTCTTCCCAACCTAATTAAAAAATCCAAGAGCAAGTGGAGGAGCAGGCAAACCTTTCGTAAGCATACTTCAAACCGGTACAGAACACTATATCAGTGAAATTTACCAGATGTGGGTCACAGATATTACAAGATCGCGTAGCTCGCTTCTCTCTTTCTCCCGCTTCTCCTTTTCTCGGGCAGGTCCCTGCAGACCAGAAAGCCCGACAGCAAGCCTCAACTCAAGATCAGCTAAGAGTATGAATGATTGACAAGCAGAATAACACCTGCATGACCAGAAATCATGCCCTCATGATATAGTTTTACCTCCATGACATGCAAGCATTGTGATGCATGCATGCCAAACATGAGAGCAGGAACAGTCCACGGATATTTCAATTCAACCAACCTGATGCTGCATTCGCACCCACAACTTGTTCATCTCTGTAAAGTTTTGAAGCACAAATTCCACAGCATCCACTACAGTGTCTGCATCCCTGAAGGAATCAAGAGAGATAATCCAGATCAGGCAATTCCAACACACAAACCAGCTTAAAGATTAAAAGAGAAGAATATTTGACTTGTCTTTAACCAACCAATTTGATCAGATGGTAAACAAAATCACAAACAGGCTTGACATGATCAATAATTTGATTAATCAATTCAGTACCCACGGTGCTAGTGAAAAAGTAGCATGCCAACATAAGATAGCACGTAAATGATAGAGAATAACATTCAAATTCTGGTGATTTTGATAAAATTGGACATTCAAAGATAAAAGATATTGGGAACAAACATAATAGAAAGACACTAAAGTATCAGCTAGCCAAATCATTTTTCACCAAAAATAGGGGGAAAACAACTAATTTCTTACCCTTCATACTCAGAACCTATGTCAGGCAATTTATCCCTACTAACTTGAGCCAGGTAACTCCTTAGAAAGAGCCCGCGCACAGGATTCTGGATGCCACGGCACATTTCAACAAGATCTTTGAGAACATCCTTAGCCGGAGCTTCCTTGGATTTGATATATACAGAGCCTACAGTACAAAGAAGATACCTGAAAGTGACCACAAGACTTGTCAAGATTAAACATTACATGCTCTCAACTCCCAACTTTCCAAAAATATAGTGAACTGAAGGCACATGTTTTTCCTGTTTAATAATTGAATCCAACATTAGTGCCAGAAAGAACCATTTCACACAACCTCCATATGAACCAAACATAGAGCACTTCCGAATAGTACATACATGTAAGTTAACGCAAGTTCCCTAAATGACAAAAACTAGTTAGCATACATCAACTCACACAAAAGCTGCTTCATATCCACTTCGTACACTATTGGAAAAAAATTACACATGAATATAACAGCATGCAGCCAATCAATACACCGGAAGAATTAAGCAAGCACACATGAAACACTTTGAATGTGATTTGTTCTTACAATCTAGGCAATATATTGCCAGCATGCTGCACGAGCTCATACAGATCGATAATGGAACAACCACGCCTCGGTTCTTCCTTGAAAAACATCTCCAGCTTCCTCAATTCATCAAATGCTCGCATATCTGAACCATCCGCCACAAATTAAAAAAAAAAACCATAACTCACATCGAAATCAAAATCGCCGTTGAAAACGAAATACATCCAACAACTTATGAATCTAATACAAAATGGAGATCAGATCAGGAGAGAAGAGCTAACATAGTTCGTAGTATTTGTGAGGGGAAAGCCTCGAGGTTCGAAGCTCAGACAACATCTGAGCAGAATACTTCAAAGCATCTCTGAGATTGTTCGAATCCTAACAAAAAATCACAAATAATCAACATCTAAGCCAAATTTCCACTCTCTGCGAAAAACTAGGGTTTTATATGTTCAAATTAACTAACAATTGCGAAGGAGCAAAGGCTTAACGAAGCAATGAGAAGGAGAGATACCAAAGCGCGATGCATGTAGAAAGCGTTCTGTTGGAGGCCGGCGATGCCGGCGGCGAGCCATTTCTCTTCGTCTTCGACTCCGTCAGCGATCATTTTCACGGTCGCGATGGTTTTGGGCTCTCCGAATCTTAATTTTGCTTTCTTGTTTCTTACTAAGAAAAACGCTTCTTAATTGTTATCGAGGTTGCGGTTTGACTTGCTCCGTTCGCGAATCCTCAACTGCCTTTCAAGCCTTTCTTTGGATTGGTACGATCCTCTGCTACTCAGGTCTATGTTCCGCTTAGATCTTCACCTTTGCTTGTGCTCGTAGTCTTGTGATGGGATTTAGACCGTCGATGGTAAGATATTTAAACTGTATATAAAACTATCGTTCTATCCCTCCCCCGTTTTTTTTTATATACAAAAATTCTTATATATCCAAAAATATATGTTATTAATGTTATCTCTTATCAAAATAAAATATTCAAACATTTTTAAATTTTGATCACACAAAATTAATTAGTTTTCAAAATAAATAATGTTTTAAAAAAATTTTCAATTGGATACATAAGTTTTGTCATTAGTTAATCGTTAATATTTTTACTAATTTAATGATATAATAATATTTTTAAAATAATTTTATTTTTTATTA